CATGTTTTTACGATATTGTAGATGTAATATATTATATAATAAATGTTTAACTAAGTTCTGGTGCTTATATTAAAACTTCACCTCAAGTCAAAGACTAAATTTGTAAACTTACTGCTGGCGACAAGGCTGGTACCATGCAGCATACATTATCAACAACGAAGAAACATGGACAACCTTATGGGGCCAAAAGTCAGGAAATGTTTGTAGGAAACACTAAAAAACAATATCAGCTTATTAAATATGATAAAGTATTTACAGGAAATGTTGATTGTATCGAACTATTATTCAGTGGCGGATTACGACCTCAGCGGCCCCTTGGCACATGTAAACCTAGCCCCCCCCCATGGGGGTCTACCGGGGGGGGGGGGGGGGTCTGGGGGGTCCCGGGAAATTTTAAGAAACTGGCTTAAGAAACTTAAAATAAAAATTTTAAATTTGTTTGTTTTTTAAGCTTTTACAACTATTGTTATTTTTACAACTATTTTATTTTTTTTTAGACCTGCGGCCCCTAGGCAGTTGCCTATAGTGCCTAATGAGTGGTAATCCGCCACTGTTGTGAGTATTTCCATGAATTACACACCGGTAATCTTTGAGTTGACTCAAACTCATTGTAAATATGAACGTTATTCGTTTTGAAATAACTTCTGTAATACAATTGCTCAAATTTGAGCAACATGTACAGTAGTTTAATTTTAAATGGGAAACATCACTGTAATTTTGAGTGAAGCAAAATCGGTACATTTTGGTTGGATAGTCGGGAGTTTTTTGGTTAAGTCCGTAAAAGACAAAAACTAAACTTTGAATACTTTTTATCTTCAAAGGAAACATACATCACATCACAGGAGTGAGGAATATCCTGGAGAACGTATGGGTCATACACCAAACAAATAATGTTGGTCACTTAAATGTAATCGTTAACACAATTATGTATGGCATTTGTTTTGGGGTATGGCCTCTACCATACTCTTCTTATGCAGAAGACTCCATCTTGTTTGAATATCCACCAGAATATGACTCAAACTCTTTAGGTACATGTAATACCTACAAATGTCAGGGTATAAAATATGCAATAGTCAAGTGTGGTTCCTCTTTTATTATTCAAAATCCAGAAACTTACAAACATTGATAGTTTTATCAAATAATTCCAGATATTTCATTCTAAGGTCTACGATTAAAATAAAATGCAAAGTGGCTCAGGTCATATCCACGATTTATTACTAATGAAAAACACTTAAAGTGCTCCTATGCTTCTGTCAGAGATGTTTTTATTATTAATTTCTTAGCAAGAAATTTAAACAGTAAACCACAATATAGAAGGGAAATTAAGCATCAAGGTGGCTTAAATAGTGGTCCAGTTGCCAGAAACTTGATTTTTACTAAGAATCAAATCTATATTTCATTATGAATAACAATGTTAGTAGAATACAAAATTAAATTTAAAACACACACTTCATATCTAGTCATGTTTTAAAATAATTTTTGAGTATAATCATTGGTAAATTCACAAAAATAAATTGCAATAAAATAAGTAACAAGGGGTATCTTTTGGATTTTACAAAAAAATCCAAACTATTTGATTACTTGAAGGCAATGACTTTGAGTGTAATATAAAAGCTCAAGTTTGGTTGAGGCAGTGAGATGAAAATTGTGCTAAATTGAACAGTTTGTAATTCTCCTTCAAGAAATCAACACTTTTTAGCGACTAAAATTGCTAACTGAGCCACATGCACTTAAATATAGGCACCATACAAGAAATCAATTCATTTTACCCTTTAAACTAAAACTAAAATCACATATACGTTAAGCAATTGAAAATCCTAGCTTTACATTAACAACGTTATAGTATCATATAGCAAGAATATATACTAGTACAACAGAACGGTGACCTAGACGTTCCACCAGATAGAGATGTTAACAAGAACAAGAACAAATACTAAGATACTATAGTTATCACAGTGCTATCAATGATAAGATTCAAAATGGCTGCAAGTTCATATGGCATACAACACACATCTAGACAACAAGCTATTAGTGGGAATGACAATAAAATAGAAGAAAATCAGACTACTGTGTTGTGAAAGTGGTCAGTTATCTTGCGGAGTAACTAGCTATAAAGTTTCTTAAAACCAAAGGCTACGAAAGTATGATACTCGCAGAGAAACTATTTATCTACGCTTAATTAAAAGATCTCAATATTTAATGTGTCAGGAAACGAGGAAACCCTAAGAGCTATTACATGATCGTTTTATACCTACTTTCGACCAAAGTGTAAATTTTATTCACTTCCTGGAAAGAAAATCCAGCAACTCACTAAATTAGGAATTCCATCCAACTTACTACGTCACTTACTAACCTTTTCAATCTATTGTGGACCTACAGAAAAATGTTATAACTGCTTGTACAATCTAGCATTTAATTGCTTATGACTGTGAAAAAAACCTCCGTTCAAATTCCTTAAAACAAAGAATATTTGGTGTATTGTATAAGCTAATCTAACCATAAAGCTTACATGCTTGTACAATTTTACATAAATTGTATTACATCTAACATGCTGCTCACAAAACTGCAGATCAAAATATTGCGATGTACACAAGCGTGAGGAAATACTGGCGGATTACTTTATGTTACAGAGAGTATGTTTATGTTATACCTAGATGAAAACTTGGTACTCCGTCGTATGGTATGTACAGTAGGTTTCTTCACTACTCTAGTATAGGTATACGTTTTGTGTGCTGGGTCGTATGTTCACAATTAAATGCATCTTAGGTGTACAGCTTAACCTTTTATTATTTTCTCACTCAAACTTCAAACAGTTTTTTTCATTAGAAGAAAGTTCATTTTGTTTCCCAGAAGTTGAAACAGCGAATAACCACTCATGTTTTCTTCACATACAAATAAAAGTGTAAAAAAAATAAAGTACACTATAAAATCTTAAAAATTGAAAAAATGTATTAACTGAAGAAAAAAGTAAGATAGATAAAATAAAAACATCCATTTTAATTCAATGTGTAGCACAATCATCTTATGTTTGACCTTTTATCCACCCTAAGTGGCTATAGATATATTTTGATACTTTGACTAAAACCAAAAATAAAGCGTAAGCAAAACAATACAAAAAAGGACAAGGACAATGTAAAAGAAACATAAAAAGCGAAATAAAAATAAAATTTTAATTCAATTACATTAGGAAACTATGATCACAAATTTGTTTCTATTATATAATAATGTTTGCTTATTCTAAACACAACTCATGATCGGTTTTTGGCATGGGTTTTGACAGCGATTGCACCAGCACAATTATGCAATGAAAAAACCCCTCTTAAAACTATCATCACTTAATTAAAAATACAAATTTCAGCATACATCACAAAAGTAAAAAAATACTCAAATTTCTTAAATGCAATTGTCTTTTAAACCAAAATGCATCGATAAAAACAAGTATACTTAAACTATCAGTAGGTTAGAAAGAAAACAAAATTACAGAAATAAAATTTAATAAAAATATTTTTGATACTAATGACAATATCGAATGTTACGTTGTAAGTAATTGTTTTCATTTAAATGAGCACGAAAATGGTAATTACTAAAATCACAATTTATATAACATCTATAAAAGAACATAAAATAGACAAAACAATACACAAAGCTGCTAGTACGATTAAAAAATACAAAATTCATACAGGACACCCTGTTGAAAAGCTAGAATAGAATGACTTGGTGATGATTTGATCAAAGATGAAACAGTAATGAAACTGGGGGGGGGGGGGGGATCTGGAATGTACATTTATGGCGCTGTGTAGTTTTAAGGTTGGGACAGTTGGTACTATGTGTGCTACACTACCAGGGGGAGGGGGGCTAGGAGGGAAACATAAGTACAAAACATTACACGGACAAGATCGAATCAACTTAAAAACTACTAACCCTTAACTAAATATATACAAGAGACTAAAGTGTTGACTGTTTGAATTGTATTGACGTTGTGGAACTTTTGTTAAGTACTACTAGAAAGAGTTATTGTTAGATATTAAAAATGTGTAAATGTTGTGGAGAGTCTGATCATACTTATAAGACTCTAAACACAAGTAGTATTTTTTGTAATATTAAATTTTAATACTGTACAAGTAACATTTTTCTGAAAAAAATGTCAAAAGAACAATGTTTAGCGTTATATCTGACACCTTATCAATACGACAAATGAACTATAATTATGATTAAATTAAGGAAGAGCGATCCCAACACAAAACAGTTTAGTTAACTTTTTGAAAGAGTTGATTGGTGTGTTGGAAAAAATATACAGACTGTCCCAAAAGTCCCGGACCGGTTTAATATTTTCTAAACGACAACAGATAAATCAATAAGATTTTGCACATCAACACCACACTTAAAAATCTACTTTTTTAAGGAACTATCAATTTTCTGTCATATCATGGGGACGTCCCACAAGGAGTCAGAAGGCAATTTTAAATAGGAGCATAGGTCAATATGCACATCAGTTTAAAGGGTTTAGCTAGCAGAGTTCAATGCCGGAAACCGCGCCTCGAAAGGATCACCCGTTACAAAATGGCGGCCGTTCAAAGATTTCTTGAACCTGCCATTTTGAATCTTTGAACGACTGCCATTTTTTACTCAGGCGTTCTTTTGAGCTTGAATTTACGACATTGTAATCTACTAGTGAAGACCTTTAATTTGATGTGCATATCGACCTATGCTTACGTTAAAATTTTTTTCCGATTCCTAGGGCTGTGCCCCCAAATGCAAATTAAATGAATCTTTGAACCACTGTCATTCTTGACTTGGTTGTCTGTTTGAGTTCAAATTTGCAGCATTATATTCTGCTAGTAAAGACCTTTAATTTGATGTACATGTCAACCTATGCTTCTATTTAAGATTTCCTTCTGACTCCTTGCGGGACGTCCCCATGATGTGACAGAAAATTTATATTTCCATAAAAAAGTAGATTTTTAGGTGTGGTGTTGATGTACCAAATCTTATTGATTTATCTGTTGTCGTTTATAAAATATTAAACCGGTCCGGGACTTTTGGGACAGTCTGTATAATTTTGATGTTTTTATTTATATGAAAGAAGATGCAACTCTTTGTCTAAGAACTCTGTAACGTCTAAGAACTCTAATTTTTTATCCATACACATATACAATTTATTGCTAAACACATTAAAAAAAGGTTATAATCAAGTCATTGAATGACTTATTGCAAAATCGTTGCACCCAAGTAGTACAATCTTTGATAATTCGTATGGTGAATTACAGTAAATTTTCTTCAAAAACTTTCAAGTCCACATTAGAAAAGCTAAAGAGAGTTTACACGATTCCACCATTATAACAGCCAAACAATTCAAGCAGATTCAACACTTAAGTCTGCGTCAAAACAAATCGATAATTAAAACTATTTAGAGTAAAAACAGAATAAATAACATTGTATGTTATGAGGGTTAATCTCGCCTAGTCTTGCCTCTGGGAGAAGTCTGATGTCATACGAAGTCCATCGCACTTTTGGGTTGTCGCAGACGTCGTTCACACGACCTTTCAATCAGCTTCTTGATCTCCGAGAAGATGAACACTGTAGACGTCAGTGAGACGAGAAACACTATATCTGAAACAAAATGTGTATTGTTGAGATGAAACCTGTCAACAACAGTAGTATGAAAAACATAGGTTTGTATTTTTTATGATTCTGTTGGGTCTACAGTCAGGACCACGCAAGTTTGCAGTTGAGGGAGGAGCCTATTTACCATATGGTTTTGAATGAACCAATGAGAACCGTGCGGTGTTGTCAAATCTAATAATACCAGCTGATTAGAAAATATTGCTTAGTATATTTTAATGTTAATGTTATATATATTTAATACTAGCTGTAACCCGCGGGCTTTGCCCCGTTTAACTTCTTAATTTTCAAGATTATCTCGTTCGCATGGCTCAATCACGTCCTGGTTGAAGTTTGTTCGCTACGCTCACTCACTTTTAGGTTGGAGCTCGTTCGCTACGCTCACTCACCTTTAGGTTGGAGCTCGTTCGCTGCGCTCACTTGCCTTCAGGTTAGCTCGTTCGCTACGCTAACTCGCCTCCAGGTTGAAGTTCGTTCGCTACGCTCACTCACCTTTTGGTTGCAAATTAGCTGTTGTCATAAATGTAAAAGAAATAATAGTGCTGCACCCTGTTGGTAATCCTTGTAACTTTAATGCTATTGAACATCATAGAACAGAACCAACTTGTTTAATTGAAACAGCTGTTAAGATTCAATAATTCCATTTCTCATAAGGTTAACATGGGAAACCCCAGAGCCACTGGGCCGGAGCCCGAAAGGATTTTTGAAATAAGAATATGCCTATATGTTAATCGGGAATGTGAGCTATCATAATGCCAAATTTCAGCCCAATCCGACCAGTATTTTTCGCGTTCACTTGTCACAAACATACATCCATACATCCATACATCTAAACTTTCTCATTTATAATATTAGTAGGATTAATGTTAATTAGTGTTGTCAACGGGCGATGTGGCAACGTCGCACTAGCCTTGTCTTATGATTGGCTCTTACCAACTGCAAACTTACGTGGTCCTGAATTTTAGGTATAATCCTAGTGTGCAGGACTGACACCCACTAAAACCCTATTGGTCCAGGCAATAGAAGACCTCTCGGAAACGCTGATGCAATAATACAGTAGACCCTAGATAACAAGTCACCCTTGATAACCAAGTGTCATTTTCAAATCCCCTAGTATTTATGGGGGGGGGGGGTGGTGTCAACCCTCAAACCAATCACAATGGTGGTAATGTAGCTCTAAGGTAGTTAGTTACCTTGCAGCGTGAGGGCTTCAGTCTGGAACACGACTTGTAGAGGAGGAGCGTAGATCACCAACAGCTGACCGACCACGGAGAACATGACAGCTAGCAGGAACATGCGGTTGGTGAATAGACCAATGGTGAACACAGACTTTGTCTGTGAACAGGCACATTATAGGACTTAACAAAGTTAGACATAGACACTTTGTTTGGCAATAGACATTTTGCTTGACATTGACAACGGCCATCTTGCTTGACAATAGACATTTTGAGTAGTGTCAGCATCTTGCTCAGATCACAGCGCAACCGGTATCATGTGAGCTAGAAGCCTGTTTGTGGTATTTTTTGTATATTTGTTAAATGTTAGTTTGAGTTATGTGTTTTGACTTTGATGGAATTGCTTTAGCTGAAACGTGGAAGTAGTTGAAGATGACATTGTTATGCCAGATCTGCCGTGAGACACAATTTACAACTATATTTATTATTTAACCTGTTTATGATGTAAAGCCTCATTTTAGTTATAGCTCAGTCCAGTAACTAAAACATAGATTTTAAGACAATATTTTGAATTAACATGTTCATTGAAAACAGTACAAGCTTACCTATTTTTTAATACTAGTTTCTAATTACTTCTAAATTTAAAAGAATCTTTAAATCCTCAATAGCATCTTAAATTTCACTTTATGTTTAAAACAAACCCATTAGCCTTTCAATTACCAATCAGAGTACAATTACTGAGAATTTATATTTTTAATTTCTTAATATTTTTAATTTTCTGCTTTGAGATAACAATGTTTGAAGTAACATTCATACTTAATTCTTTTCCTCTTAATTTTATCCTTACAATTTTAACTGGAAGTTTTTAAGTATCTCAGATTAAAAAAATTAAATATATTAAACAGTACCTGTGAACGGCAGCTTAAAGCGTTGAACATGTCAAAGAATACGAAACATGTGAAGGTCATTGTCGTATCTCTCGGGGTGATAATGTTGTCACTCATCTGTGGGAAAACGTGAAACTCTATTAGTATTAGTAAATAATTGTTGTATATATTACTGTATATGTATAGAGATGACTCTTGATGATCCAACATGGGACCAGGAGAGTATCAAATTACCAAAAATGTTGCTGATATATCCTAATATTTTTTAATTAACCTATAAATAAGCTAGGAAAATCATATTTTGTTGTGGTGTTTCCGGACCAATTGATTGACAAATAAATAAAAGGTTAAAATACCTGCTTGTCGCCTTGTGGTCCAAGTATTGTCCTAGTGGATTATGTACATTTCGGCGCGAGCGCCATCGTCGGATCCGTATAAGAACTGTTTACACTAAACTTCCCTGAAGAGGTGCGTAAGATGTTCACAACACAAAACACACATAAAAACCGGTCGACCGTTAATTAACATTTTTTAACTTTTGCTACGCGTGTACGGGCAGGATATGGAGGCGCGCCAGACGTGTGTACGGATCCGACGATGGCGCTCGCGCCGAAATGTACATAATCCACTAGGACAATACTTGGACCACAAGGCGACAAGCAGGTATTTTTACCTTTTATTTATTAGGAAAATCAACTTATGACTTAAACTAAAGTGTTGTATTGTGTAGGTCTACTTTTATAACATTAACATTAAATTTTGAGGAATCATGATTGATTTATCCAAATATATAAATTGTCATGTTGCTTATGGGATTAAGTTATGGGTATTACCTTATTTGAAAATAATTCTAACCCTTCAATAACAGTTCTCTGGATGTTAGCTGGTGTGGGACTCTTGGAGCATTGTAAGCATTTTCAAGGAATTTCAGATTCTTATAACTGTCACATTAAGTGTAATGTTCATGAATAAAACTGTGAATGTCTAAAAATCCTTATCTGATAGGAATAGTAATATTCTGGATATGCCTGAGCATTGGCTGCCAAAGTTTTTAAATGTTTCCTACTGACCAGTTAAAGTGCTCTCAAAGAGTTACCAGTGAGGTTAAGTCCTTACTGAAAGTCTCTTTTTGATGAAAAAAGAGTTGATTGTATTGTAAGATAACCCTTTTCTACTCCTTAAAGAAGTTTGCACCATGAAAGACTTCCACTAGCTATATTCTGTTTTCATGGTCTGTAACTCCAATGTGCTTTATGTCTCAATCATATATTTTATTTGATATTTTACAGTAGGCATATACATGTTGTATGTCAGTATACTGAAGATTCACACACTACTGTACTGACCTCTCGCTTGAAGACCCACAGAGTGCCAAAGATGATGATGGACGCAGAGAGCAACACGTTAGTTATCAACTGACGAGTGATCATTGGCTCCTTGGGGTTACGAGGTCTCTGCTTGACAACGTCAGAGTCAACGGGTTCAACTCCCAGACTGTTGACAAAGTGGTAAGTTAAATGTTTTAGCAAAATTGTTTACAAAAATCTGTGATTTAGAATGTCTTTAACCTTAGGGACATTTTAGTGAATAGTATGACACCATTGTACTTTTGAGTGACAAACCAAAACAACATAAAAAATCCACCCAATCACAAATCTCTTGCCTCTTCATATCGTTTTGATATTGATGTTCACCTTGTTTGGAAATTAAAAAAAAAAACTTTTTAATATGAAAAAATATTGAAATCAAAATTCATGTTTTCGGCCCCTGGACTATACTGTTAAGACAATAATAGGTTTTTTTACATACCTCAGTCAAATAGTCCAAAAATGATATTGCTCAACAGCTTACATGTTTCGTTGCGAAGACAACATTATCAAAGCTTGCAACTCGTCAAAAACACATTTAAAACACGAACACGAACACAGAAAACATTAATACGGTACGAATACACGACTGACATTTAGATAGCGCTATCATAATACTGATTTGGTCCGGCGCGGCGCGGGGCTGGTATCAGACTGGAGGTCTACGTCACGTCGTCTCCTCTACTGTTATCACTGATGTTATCAGATCTTCGATCAGCTGTTCCTGAGTTTAATATTGTATTAAAAATCGAGTGAGACTGGAACTGTAATTTTTCGTTAAGGATGTGGTCCTTACACTGTTCGTCATTATAAATTTTATAAATCTCGAACTCCTCCTAGGTGTCAAGTTTGCCACCTTTCCCACAGACATGTAGAATTTTTAAACCATCGTCAATGCTACTCATTGAGTGATTTGAATCAACCAGGTGTTGTGCAAAGGCTAATTTTTGTTTGACCATTTTTGGAGTTGGCCTGTGTTCTCTGTAGCGGGTTTCAAATGCCCGACCCCCCGTCTGGCCTTTTATTTGCCAGTTGCATTTTTGACGAGTTGCAAGCTTTGATAATGTTGTCTTCGCAACGAAACATGTAAGCTGTTGAGCAATATCATTTTTGGACTATTTGACGGAGGTATGTAAAAAAACCTATTATTGTCTCAAAAAATATTGGACATTATGCTAAGAATAATGAAAACCAAAAATTGAATATCCTGAAGGAATGTTAATAGTTAAGTTTCAACTGAAACCCTGATTTGAAAAAGATTACCTTGCCTAGATCATTATTCAGCCAAACGGAACCCTGTCTACTAAAAGCACAATCCTACCACTTGCTAACTGCACCTTAGATCAAGTACAATGACCAACTAAAATAACAGTCTTCTGTAGGTCAACACAAGTAACTTCACAACTTACTTGTACAACATCACCAAACCCTCCCTCTTTACAACTTGACCCTCCCATTAGTACACTAACCTCTGTGCCGGAGGACCGTCCATGATGATGTTTATCCACAGGATCTGCATGGCGTTGAGAGGGTTCGGGATGCCCATGATGGTAGCCAGTGCAATGAGAGACAACGCAGCGATGCTTGTACTCAGCTGGAATCTCACAAAGTTCCGGATGTTGTAGAATATTGCCTTGCCTTCCTCAATAGCAGCTCTGCACAGAAAACACACACTTTACTGTAATTCATTTCCTCTGGTGATTTGATATTAATTTGTTAAATGTTCAGCCAAAATATTCTAGTAAAACATTCTAGAAAAGTAATTTACCACTTCAAAACATTAGACTGTTACACTTAAAGGCATTACAGCCCCATGAGTCACCATATTAAAGAAAAGAATTTCTGAGCAAGAAAACCATTTTCATTGAGATACAAATTCAAAAGGTTGGCAAGATGAGGAATCAAATGAAATGAAAGTTATTGGCAAAAGAAAAAAATATATGAAATAAGTGGAATCCATGAAACAACAACAAAATTTAAAACTAAGAACATTAAATACACAAGAATCTGTGCTCACATGATCGTGTTGAAATCGTCGTCCACCAGTATCATGTCTGCTGCTTCCTTACACACGTCTGTGCCGTTCTTGCCCATCGCTATCCCAATGTCCGCTCGCTTGAGAGCTACTCCGTCATTCACTCCATCACCGGTCATCGCTACTATCACTCCTGCCCTCTGGAACGCCTGTGGACAAACACCTTATAGTCATCTTATTCAATCCCACTCTCTAAAATCAAGACTTGCAGATAGTGGTCTGCAAACCAGACATTTTTACTTCAGGTTAGGTGAGGTCAACAATTTTGGCCCTCAATTTTTGAGCCAAAATCGATCTGCTTTGCAAAGTATAGAAAAAAAAAATATTAATTGTAATATTACATTACGTTTATACAGTAGACTCCCTCTCGTTCGGCCTCGGTTGGTTCGGCCTCCGGATGGTTCGGCCGGCCGCCTGGATAGAGTATTTTTAAATTGTGTATCTATAAAACGGAAGCAGATAAGAATCTGACTTCCGTTTTAGCTCTAGTTCACTGCACACGTGTTCACTGTTCAGTACAGTACCGGACGTTCGTGTGTGTACATTAGTTGTTGTGACTTAGTGAACTGATTTAATTGTGTTTTGTTAACTGAACTTTAACTTATAAGTGACTGTACGTACTTTACATTATTATGAGTGCTAAACGAAAACGTACATTTGTGACAATGCAACAGCGGTTGCAAGCTCTAGAGAGAATAGACAAAGGTGAATCGGTCCAAAGTATTTGTACAGATTTGGGGGTTGGTAAAAGCACCGTGAAGAACTGGCGTCGAAACCGAAAATCGATCGAGGATTTTTGTACGCAGATTGAATCGGAAAAAGCTCTTTCATCACGTTGCACTTTAAAAAAACCTAAAAATGAATTGGTGAACGATGCTCTTTGGGTGTGGTTTATGCAGGAACGAAGAAGAGGAACGCCGATCAGTGGCCCTATCTTAAAGGAGAAGGCGGTTATCTTACATGGGAAACTTGGTGAGGAGGGGGAATTTGTCGCAAGTGAGGGATGGCTTTCCCGTTGGAAAAAAAGACACGGGGTACATTTTCTTGGGGTGTGTGGCGAAAAGCTGTCGGCAGACCCTGCTGGTGCAGCTGAGTTTACAAAGAAATTTGAGCAAATTATTGCTGAGAATAACCTAAGCCCGGAACAGGTTTATAATATCGATGAAACAGGGCTGTACTATAAACTCTTGCCACGGAAAACATTTGCTGCAGCAACAGAAATGTCTGCCCCTGGGTTTAAGGTCAGTAAAGATAGGATCACAGTGGCACTTTGCTCCAATGCTTCGGGTACGCATAAATTGCCCCTTTTTGTAATCAGAAAATCAGCAAAACCGAGAGCATTCAAAAACTTGGACGTATCAAAACTACCAGTGTACTACCGGGCTCAGAAGTCTGCTTGGATGGACTCGTATTTGTTTAAAGAGTGGTTTATTAGTGAGTTCGTGCCTAAAGTAAAAAGTCGTTTGATGAGTTTAAAACTCCCTGTAAACGCACTTCTTGTTCTTGACAATGCGCCTACCCATCCGGATGAGTTAGAATGTGATGGCGAGTCTGGAATAAAACTGTACTACCTGCCCCCCAACGTAACAAGCCTCCAACAGCCAATGGACCAAGGGGTAATAGAGTGTTTCAAGAGAAAGTATCGTCGAAAGCTTCTTTCAGAAGTTTTGTACAAACTGGATAGCGACGAAAACACCGATCTCATCAAGGTTTTAAAGACAATCAACATGAAGGACGTGATTTTCATGGTAGCGAAGGCCTATGACGAAGTACAACCTTCAACATTAGTTAAGTCGTGAAGAAAGGTATGGCCGAATGTTGAAGAAGTTGTTGCAAGTGAAGGCAATGTTGTTGATGTGCACAACCTTGAAAGTGAAGCAGACGACCAAGCTTACATCCTAAATAATTTACAGCAATTGCCTCACAGTGAAAATGTTGAGCTTGAAGATGTTTTGGAGTGGGTATCTGTCGAAAAGGAGGTGGACAATGAAATTTTGAACGACGAAGAAATCGCTCAATCAGTTTTACAGCGTCAAGAAACCCAAGAAGGAGAAGAAGAAGAAGGTGGCGACCGTGATGAGGACGACGAGTGTAAAATGAGTCACGCTGAGGGAATGGCAGCCCTGCAACTGGCTACAACCTACATCGAACAGCAGACGAGTTCTACAGCAGTTGACTTAATGCTTTTTAGAAAATGGCGTGACTATGCTAGAAAGAAATCAACTGAAGAAAAGGTACAGCGAAAAATTACTGATTTCTTTTAAACTTTGTCATTACAGTGCAGTACTGTAGTTTAAACATCATTCCTGTAAAATTTCAGTGTTGTGTGGATTCTTTTTTATTGTATTTAGGCCTACATTATTTATGTTTATTGTGTGTGAAATAAATGAATAATGTCAGTACAGTGTCAAGTGTTCAGTACGTGTTTTCATTAAACAATACCAACATTTCTGAGGGTAAGTTTAAAATCTACACTTAGCCTAAGGCTAGTCTTATTAATTAGGTTTAGTTTAGTGTATAGATCCCTTATACTGTACAGTAAGTCCATTTACGGCAGAAAAAGTAGTCTTCTTTATATATCATCGGTTAGTTCGGCCATTTTTTAGTTCGGCCGGTGGTTCGGTCCCGAGATGGCCGAACGAGAGGGAGTCTACTGTACATGATCTTTTCCATATCACAGCGAAATATTGAACATCATTTGTAGTCATGGCAAAACTGTGTATGACTTCTGCAATCATTGTAAATAGTGAACATTTTCTGAGCTCGCGGCAAAAGAAAGAACTTCTTCCGCAGTCACAGCTTAACCCTGAATGTCTTCCAAGCCCAAATTGATCTCTTGGGCCAAATTATTGTCTAACCCTACCAAAAAACATCGGGGACTTGAAGACCTCTACTTGTGGAGCCAGTTAAAAGAGGAGCCTTGAAAATATTGGAAAATAAATTTTACACAGAAGGAATCTAAAATGAAGACTTTTTTTAATGCAAGGTTTTAAAAAGTTTCGCAAAATCTATCATGCAAGGAATACTTCTAAGACAAAAGACAGAAAAATGTAGTGAGGCATGTATGGATATTTTTTATCATTTTAGTTAGGATATTTTATTATAGTTGATTAAAAAAATCATACTACAAGTTTATGAATTGTGTAAATACCTTGACAATGCACAGTTTGTGTCTGGGTGTTACTCTGTAGAACACAGTGACATTGCCCACTATCTGCTCTAGCTGATGTTCTGACATCTGGTCTATCTGGTCTCCACTGAGCACCTGTCCATGTATAACATCCAGTCCTATCATGCTGGCTGTAACATACACAGTGAGTGTCAAGTACAGTGACAATGCACAGTTTGTGTCTGGGAGTTACTCTGTAGAACACAGTGACATTGCCTGACATCTGGTCTATCTGGTCTCCACTGAGCACCTGTCCATGTATAACATCCAGTCCTATCATGCTGGCTGTAACATACACAGTGAGTGTCAAGTACAGTGACAATGCACAGTTTGTGTCTGGGAGTTACTCTGTAGAACACAGTGACATTGCCTGACATCTGGTCTATCTGGTCTCCACTGAGCACCTGTCCATGTATAACATCCAGTCCTATCATGCTGGCTGTAACATACACAGTGAGTGTCAAGTACAGTGACAATGCACAGTTTGTGTCTGGGAGTTACTCTGTAGAACACAGTGACATTGCCTGACATCTGGTCTATCTGGTCTCCACTGAGCACCTGTCCATGTATAACATCCAGTCCTATCATGCTGGCTGTAACATACACAGTGAGTGTTAAGTACAGTGACAATGCACAATTTGTGTCTGGGAGTTACTCTGTAGAACACAGTGACATTGCCTGACATCTGGTCTATCTGGTCTCCACTGAGCACCTGTCCATGTATAACATCCAGTCCTATCATGCTGGCTGTAACATACACAGTGAGTGTTAAGTACGGTGACAATGCACAGTTTGTGTCTGGGTCAATACAAGGCTAAGTTTACTGATTTTTGGCATTTTTGACAAGTTGATCAAATGTGGCAAATAATTCAAGTATAAGGTCAGTATCATCGATGTGTCGCAACTCCAGAAAAGATTTAATTTCTAAATTTGATCATCTGGATTTGAATCTTAAATATTAGTCTATATTTAGTTGCACTTGTCTATTTGCCCGTGTTACCCAAAATCTGTATTTGTTCAAAGCAGTAAATGAACGAAATCAGTATGTTCATGAACTCAAAGATTGGACAATATTTGAGAAACCTTTTTTTTAACTTGTGATGGAGTACCCTAAAGATTTAGGATTATTTTAAGGTTGGTAAACTTGCTACATAACAGGAAAGAGTTCTTAGCAAACCTACATGCTATTTTAGTAATCTACTCTATTCTCCCAAACAAGCTGAAACCATATATTTTTGGAAGAAACTTCTACCTAATTTCTTATAGTACATATCAATATCAAGTTACCGATTGCCACAGCTGTCTCTTGTGCGTCCCCAGTCACCATCTTGACCTTGACCCCACTCTGTAGCAGCGTCTGTATGGACTCTCGTACGAAAGGTCGTGGAGGGTCACAGATGCCCACTAGCCCCATGTAAACCAGATCTTGCAGACTGCTACCTCGTGCCAGCCCGACCACTGCAAACAGAAGTGTTAGTTATACTAACATGTAGTGATTTAACTTTGATTGTTAATTGAAGCAGACCCATGTTAAGTTTGTAGCCAGTTTTACAGCTATGGAGTTGAATTGAGCCAACAACAAAGTGATCTGATGTCAATAATTGATTTCATTTCTGTTGAATATGCAAACTTTTCAACCAAGCCATGAAAACTGACTTTTACCAAAACCTTAAGGGCTTAAGGATTATATTGAATTTTGACAGTACAGTATTAAAAATGTTGGAAAGGTTTAAAAAAACTAGGGAGAAAAGGTAATGTATGAATCTATATATAAAGCTAGTAAGGTTTTGAACTTTTGAGAAAACCGTTCAAAGCCGGTAAGCCGCACGCCTATGAACCGCATACTTGAATGAAAGGTCTTGATATGAAACTTCCCCGTAAAATATCAGTACTCTCTCCTAAGGGCAAGAACCTCAATTAAAATAGTGCATTTTTAATCATATTTTAAATATTAGAGATACTTCAACTGTTAGATTTGTTTTTTGTTTTAGTTTGTTTGCTTACTTTTCCTTGAGTTAACTTATTGATTCTACCATAGATTTCTAAATTGCATCAAGAGAAGTGACAGTACATTATTCTTATAATGTGGGATAGTGTTCAAGCCGGTTCAAGCCTTTGAATCATGTTTCAATTGTTAACTTATTAGTTCAGTAAAAGAAAACACTGTAATTGGTGTTGCAGACAAATGTTGAGTATATAATAAACTGACGCAAGAACCATAGATTTTGGAAAGAGCCTTATGTTTCCAACTGGAGAAAAAACGCATCTTTCGTTGAAACATGGACATTGATAAAAATAATTTACATCTATAACGAGCACGTAATCAACCAGCAGATTGCATTGGACAAGGCGGGGAAGAATCACCATATCTTCTTTGCATTCTCTTCTGGTGGCGAGACACGGGCAGAACAACTAGTATCAATCAAACTGGTATGCTAGATCAAAGATAACCTCTTATCTAGTTCTATAAGCTAGATAACCCACCTCTAAGCCCCTTCCTGCCAATCTCGTAGGCCTCCGCCAGATACTCTTGTTCCTTCTTGACATTCAGAGGCTGGGTGGTGCCATTGCTCATGTACTTGGTACACTGCTGAAGCACCTTCTCCAGAGCTCCCTTCACAAAGAAAATGTCTTCCTTGTTCTGCAAAACATCAACAATTTGAGTATGGAGAACGAACTGTGATTGGACCCTGGTGAATTCATCACTATATGTAATGTCTTTAAGCTGAAACCTCAAGAGACGTTTGGTCCCACAAAAGTCTTCGACGGGGGTATTTTATTATTTCGATTACTTGGATCAAACTTGCATTCTAAGCTTTCAATCACATTTCACTAATCACTAATTTCAATCACTAATTTCACTTGCCGGATACGGAAAGTAAATAGCTTTCAATAAGCAAGCATAGTTATATCGAATATTGTTGTACATTTCTTCAACTAATAGAGATTTTCCGAAGTGTTTTAAATTACTTACAAAGTCTTACTGTAGAAATACTGGTAAAAAATGTTAAATTACTTTGGCCAATACTTACATCGTCGTACTTAGGCACCACTTTGACTGCCATCATCTTCTGTTCAGAGCTGAAGGGATATTCCTGTAGCCTCACATACTTCTCCGCCACTCCATACATGTTGTTCTGATAATACAAAAATGGAACAATATTATCGATGAAACTACTCATCATCACATAGAACAGGATACAAAACACGTAGGCCAACAAATTCTAAACTGGTGAGTTTGACAATGTTGATCTATGTGACATTTTCATACGGTTCTTTATACGTACAAAATAAAGAGCCAGTAAAAAAATGGAAAAAAAATTGTTCCAGCTCAAATAGTTTTAGTTCTATAGTTTATGTACCCCATATATTGTACAGTCATACCATTTGGAAATAACACACAATTTGGGAATGTATAACATGGAAGGAGGGATAGCTTAAGAACTGTTAATCGAGACTGGTATTTACCTTATTTGCTACAGCTAGAAGAGCGCCTTCCGTCGGCTGACCGAGCAGCGTCTCTCCGTTGATCACAGCGTTATTACAAACACATCCAACCTGGGACAAAAAGACACTAGTTAAATCCACAATACAAGGATAAAACAGCACTTAAGACGACAAAAATAGAATACAAGAGTACGATATTGAATGTTGGAAAAAAACTTTAGTGGATGTTGACTGTGTTGCTTAAAAATTGATGACCCAATCCTCCTAGTAAAACCTTAAAATACAGTGTGTCGCTAAACAACCTCTACCCCCTTTGTGAGATTGTTTCTTGCATATAATCAAACAGATTTTGTAATATAACCATGGGTCTCCCATGCCTAGTATTCCGTCTATCTGCTCATATGTGTTTTTTACAAATTACCTTATAGCTTTTAACGCTTCAACATAGAATCTTTAAATCTGATACAGACATGTAAAATTAAGTTATAAAAAAAAAACAATATTTTTCTATTTAAAAGATTTCAAAATGGCGACTATTTAAAGATTTAAATCTTTAATATCTCAAAAACAAAAACAAAAACATTGAGGCTATAGAAAAACAAAAAGAATAATAAAATGTTTAAAATCTTAAATATTAATCAAATAAATCTAATGACACTTTAATTAACAAAATCGGTTGAAAAATAACCATGTTATGACGGTTTTTATCACCCAATGTTTTAATAATAACAAACCATAAGACGTTTGAAATTTTTCATCATGTGGACTTGTGCATGCTAATCAGCTGTTACTTGTCCATTTCTTAGCTAATAAAGAGTATTGTTTTAACAATAAAAAGTACCATACTAGGTTTTTTAGGAACAACCTGTATAGTATAAGACATGTCAAGGCCCGAAAGTAAGTGTTTATGGCATGAGCTTGGTAATTCTCGTACTTTGTAAGCCGTTCACTGTATGTCACGCAAATACCGTAAACATCTTCCTGGAGATAAGTCAAAAATATGTTTTGTTACACTACCAGTATTACTTTAAAGGATTTTATACTTTAAAAGATGACATCAAAAAATACCTCAAGAAGTCTGTAGATGGATTCACGAGCCTTATCCACGCTGTCACACTTGTGGATGTGGATCTCACCCTGGTCATTATATCCAGCGCCTGACACCTGAAATGTAACGGAATAGTTTCAGATCTGTGTCAACACACGACGAAGTAAAGCTTGATGTCAATTTAAACAACATAGTTAAGCTATATTATTTTTCTTAAAGAGATTGGGGGTTTATTTGACATTGCATTATCCATCCTCATAGACCTCTGCCTGTCTGTAGAATGTATCTAGCAAAACAAGGGGTGAAAAGGTACAGTAAAAGAGTGAAATGTACTGATAAAATGTAATTTTGGGAACCAAACATCCACAACATTGCTGCCATGGATTAGTAGTCTGTTATGTCTCGACTCAGTTATATTATATGAAAAATAAGCTGAAAAATTTTTGTGATCCATTCAATTTAATTTTCAAACCCTCAAAAAGCAAAAATTGCTACCAGAACGTTTACAGTATTTGAATATAGCTTCAACGACAACATTAAGGAGACACGCATAAATGTATAAAATTATTTTATTTTGTTAGTAACGGTTTAGGAGCTTGCCATCAAGTCTGGTGTTTGCTAGTGTTTGAGAAGGGTTGATTACTGGCCCATACCAATTTACTAATAGGCTAACTAATGACGTTGTCAAAGATAGTAATAATACTTGAACTTGATCTTGACCACTTCCTAACAATAATCACCATCGGAGGAAAGTAAAAAAGTTATCAGTAAATATATGATTGCAGTGAATACCTCAGCCAAATGTCCATCAGCTGTGACTATGACAGTGACAGTCATCTCATTCTTGGTGATGGTCCCAGTCTTGTCTGAACATATCACACTGACACAACCTGTAACAAACAAACCGGAATTGTAAAATCTACCTGATACTGTTGTAAAAAAATATGAGATTCAATCACTTTTTGGGCTATTTTATATCCAAGACTAGTATTGAGTCTTTAGGTGTTCGACACATGTACAGGATGAAAAGTAAGTTTTTCCAACCTGAACAAAGTCGACAAAGTTTTTTTGTACCTGACAAGTCCTGGATATACATAAAAGAGCAATAAAAGGTGTGTGAAGGCCACAAAAAGAGTACCAATAAAATATATCCCTGATAATTCTATATTCGTCTGCCATGAAGCAGATATCCACACTTAGATAACTAACGTATTATGATTAAATATGATGACTTTCATACCCAGAGTTTCTACGGTGGGGAGTTTCTTGATGATTGCTTTTCTCTTCGCCATCCTCATGACTCCCAATGCCAGAGTGACTGTGACTACGATGGGAAGTCCTTCAGGGATAGCTGCTACTGCCAGACTGTTAACACCACAACAATCATAGTATAACACTTAAATTAATAACTGTACAACAAATAATATGAGACAATTGATTATTATTGTCCATTTAATGGTTGGTAGTTTCAATTTAATGAACCAAATTATGGGTTTGTATTTGTTATTTGATTCCCTGACAGCCAGGCAAAGGTCTTAAGTGTCACCGGTCAATCGTCAAAATGTCCCGCGGTCACGGCATCGTCAACATGTCCTGTGTTTGCATTGCCATCTTCAACATGTCTTGCAGTCATGTTGCCATCTCCGACGTGTAGGCCTACTGCGGTCACGGAACCATCATTCAACATGTCTCGCAGTCTTGGCTGCAGCGAGAAGATATCCCTCAATCACAGAAATATCATCATCGTCTACTGGGTTCGCGAAGCCATTGTGTACGTGTCGCAAGTAATGATGATGATATCTCCCTAATTATCTCTCGTAATCGCAGAGACATCGTCATCATCACCCGCAAAACCGGCGACATCATCATTATCACTTGCGACACAGCAAAAATCGCCGATTGGAACAAATCCCGCCCCAAGAAAAATCGCAAATCAAATGTAATTTCGTCCCGATGATCGGGATCATATTTTTTCTGAAAAATCCCGAAATTTCGGGACCCGTCCCTCCTAATAAGTGCCTAATAATAAAAAAGGATTATTATTATTTTAGAGCAAAACTCCTCTTTACTTTTTGCAGAATTTGGCTCTACCCACAAGACCAGGAACACCACCAAGATTGGTTGAATACAGTCACACAGTATAATACCCATATCTAACATCGATCAAACTCTCTGAATATCTGTCTAATCACAATCCAGCCAAACTAATATTGATATTTGATATGAATCATGAGCATTTCTGTGTTACTCTTTTTACCAAAATGCACGTAGACTCATCTATGAGTAGTATTTAATTGTAAGTATTGTATTGGCTTTCAATACCTTTTTCCACACTTTTTCTTCAATTTTTTTGTGACCACCCACAATAAGGTGCTTATCAAGGAAAATTAGTAGTAAGGCATTTAGTTACATCACTTATACAAATTCTGAGTAGGTAATTACAATTTAGATAAATGACCTTACCTGACACCAATAGTAAACATTTCCAGAATAGCCTTTCCTTGGAGCCAGCCGATACCCATGATCAGGCCAATAATACAGAAACTGTACAATGAAAGCTGTGTACCCAGGATGTCCATACTCTTCTGCAGGGGTGTCTTGGGGGCCTCCTCGGCCTGCATCATCTTGAACACCTCTCCAAACTCACTTTTCTCCCCAGTGTTGACCACGAGACCCTACACACATCAAACACACTGATGAGACAGAAGTTTAAGTTTGTCCATGTCTCCTTAGCATGCATCATCATCATGAATGATTTAGAATGTTAATATTTTCCAAACCACCAGTTAAGCCAGAGTATCCATATGATTATAGTTAACAATATCAGGAATCGTAATTGGATTTTTCCTAACTGAAAGATTCAACCACAAAATTCACTGCTCAATCCAGGTTTTAAATTTTTATTGACAAAATCAACGGCTCATTTGCGGTTTAAATGGTGTTTTCACAGTAAAGTGGATATCCTAGATTAAACTTAAATATATAAATAAAGAATCCTCTTTTAATCCAAGTTAGCAACTCTAATTCCACCTGAATCTATGTTCAACTAGGATTGGTTGATCCAGGCCTCTGCAAGACCCATATAATTTTGGGTACAGTCAGGCCAACAGTGGGTCCATGGGATCGGTTCGGGATAGAAATAATTTTTTGGGACAATATCAGGTCAGTTGAAAAAGAGCTAAGCTGTTATTTCCGTGATTGCAGAAACCGTCTGCGAAGATGCACAATCGGAAAATGACGGTTTACCCCAAATTGTTAGAGATCTTTGAAGATGTTCACAAATTAGGTACCTCCGACCGGTGAAGGTGAAGATGTTCTTAATTTAGCTATAAGGGCAGAAGATGATTGTGATTTAGCCGTGACTGCAGAAGATGATCCAGACTATACAACAACTGTACAATAAACAATGTCTATTTACCTTGCCGTTGCCACATCGCACCAGTGTGCCCATGAAGGCGATGTTCTTCATGCTCGAGTGGCCGTTAGTCTTGAGAATCGGAGCCGTGATCTTGGCGGACGGCTCGGTCTCTCCCGTAAAGCTGCTCTCATCAACAGCCAGGTCAATTGCCTACAAAAGCAACTTCTTTAACTAACTAACTTACTAGGTTATGTTGTAGGTTATGTTATGTTATAGGTTGTTGTGTTGTATGTGTGTAACAAGAGGTTTTTTTTATTGGCATTTGTTTTTATTGTATTGTTTGGTTATGATAACATGAAAGATTTTTTGTTTTTGCTTCTTTTTTTTTGCAAACAATTCCATAAAAAAAATTCACATGTCAAAAAAGAGGAAAAAATTAAGAGACCATAAAATTAAACAGAGTATCAAAAAATAGTATAGTTTCTAGCTACTATATACATTCTAGGCAATTATATACATTAATTTAATGAGGACATAATTGTTTTCCAAACTCACTGATTTAAATAAGTGTCTGACTGGTTTATAATGCAACCTAAATATTTGTAAAACAATAAAAATAAGGATATAATTTTTTTTAGAGTTAGTCAAATAATTTGATTAAGTTTGGCTTAATGAGGCCATGTTGCTGTTATAATGTGCATGAGTACAAGAGAATTTGTATTTAATTTTTGCTTACTTGAAAATTAAACAAAGGTAAACAATTTTTAACAAAATTTAAATGTATAATAATAGGCTACTCTTAGAAATTACTACTAACCACACAGTCTTTCTCATTAATATTACAGGTACTAGTTTCCTAAGAGAAAGGTAATTGAAACTGATGTTGTACAGTACTACTTTCAAATTTTCAGGATTTTTTGTACACTGATGAGAAATTTGTCACATTTGATTCAATTGCCACAACGCAAGGAAAATGGGAGGCGTACTAATTTTGATTGCAATTAATTTCAAATTGGCTAAATAGAAAATCAACAGGGATAACAAACTGAAAATTGGATGAAAAAAAAAATTGTTACCTCTAAACCTCGACTACTCATCTCGTTTTCAACCAATAGTGCCTCTACAGAATGAACAAAAAAACAATCTACTTTGCTCAACCCTGTATAATATCTTAGAGAGGTTAAACCAGTGTAAAGATATAGTGTAAAGACTACTGACCTCAAACAGTCTGATGTCAGCGGGTACTCGATCTCCCACGTTGAGATGGACAACATCACCTGGTACTAACTCTCTGGCAAGAAACGTCTCCAACCTACCTTCCCTTAGACTGTAACCATGCAAAACATATTTTGTTACATATGGTTAAATTACAAAACCAGAAAAAATAAAAAACAGAAATCCCAAACAACACAACACACAAGGCCCCGCTTGAGCCAACTATGACAACTACAGTAGAACCCCTTTAAACCGAAACCCGGGTTAACCGTAATTGTTCCATAAAGTAATACAGGGCTGTAAAATGCTTTAGTAACTTCGGTTGTTAGTTTAAAGTATTTTCGAACCCATTGTAACATTTTTATAGCTGAAATAAAACAAAGAATTAAATAGAATAGACATTGTCTTAAATTCAATTTTCCTACACATCGAGGTAATACATTGCCTATTTTTATCACATGATGGGCTAACCGAAAATTTGGTTATCCAAAACGGCTCTCCCCCCTTTATTTCGGTTAACCGGGGTTCTCCTGTATGTCTTAACTGAAAATACAAAAATAATTAAATTAAATTGGGCCTGATGATTGGAGTATCCAATCGAAATCGATCACCACTTACTATCTTTTATACTCCACAATTTATTTCTGCCTGTCTGTTTTCAACATCATTCTTACTTAACTTAATGATAATTTCATGGAGAATTAATATATCTTTATCACGTCAATAAAAGCCAAGTAAAATACAGTGGTCATCACATAACAACTTAAACTGTCATTCAAACTTTCATATTGCTTATGTAGGCAAAATACAAACTGCAAATTTAATATCAAAATTTACTACAAAAACAATTTTGAAATAGCAACTTGTTGAGGAGGTAGGCTAGGGTTTTATTATTTTGCAATCTTTTATAACTAACGCCTAACTGTTGACTATCAAAGGTGATTCGATGTTGATATTTACCAATGGCATGTAGGTGGGACGAGTTTTGTCAACTCTTCCAGAGATTTCTCCGACCGATATTCCTGTACGAATGCAACCGTCACCACAATAATGATGGCCTGGAACATGATAAGTACGTGTCATCTAACCAGAAACATACCATGAAACATTTACCACGGAAAAAACACACAAGTTATTAAAGAATACAATGTTATGGTGGTAAATTTTATAAAATTGATTACACAAAATTTGCTATTATGATTTTCAAATGCCGTAATTCACATTAACTTTGTCTACTATTCAATAGCGATTAATTTTATTCTATGACACAACTTATTTAATTGTACTGAAGAAATATTGTAAAATAAAATTTAGCATTTGAGTTTTCTTTCTCCAACCAATGGTGTTTCTTAAGGTGGATTTAAAGAACCAAATGTTTCTCTTCGGAGTCCTCACTCCTTTACCAAGAATGGGTAGAGAAAATAACAAGTGCAACACAATTAAATACAATGTAATACATGCTGATCAAATCAAAACATTGCTCCGCATTTTTTCAAATCCTATCAAATTTCTAATCAAATTCTACACCCAGTAATTAGGATTGTTTCAAAGCATTCTAATGTTTGACAGAATCAAATAAATTAATATAATACCATAAGTGAAAAATGAATAAAAATTATATGAATGGATTTTGCAATAGTTACTGTTTTTGAACCAAGTGTGGTCTTTAAAAATTTAATTGATAGATAATTAATGACGCTTCAACTGTAATTTTAACTACAAAGCAACAGAATAACACTGAATATTAGAATTTAGGATGAAAGGATAAAGCAAAGAAAATCTTTTGTGTCAGTTCCCCAAGAGAGATTATCTCATCTACAAACAACAATGTTGAATTTATTTCACCTGCAAAACTACCTCGCTGCAAATAAAGTCTCTTTTGACAACCGGAGTTGCTTTATAACGCACAACCTTTCTTTGCTACAAACTACTAAGCAAATGTTCTGTTGTTATATTTGTCAATTTTAATTTCAGCATGCGTTTGCACAGTGTGTCATATTATTTTGTTTAAACTACACATACTTGTGTGTCAAGTAATAGCTTTGACTATGGTAATAGGTTAATCATAGAGAGGTTAAAGACATTTTAATTAACCAGAGTATTATTTTCATACTACCATAGTGGCTAAATATCTTTAGCTAATGACTAGATCATTTAATCTTTGGATAGTCTAGGTCTAATAAATAATTCAGTTGACAATGCAGTTGAATTTTTTAAAAATGCAGATAAACTATTCAACATATTATACTACTACTGTACAATTCTTATTCTGTAAACAGAGTTCAAATTTAAACTCTGTGAAAGCTTAGCTGATAATCCGAAATGAAACCAAATGTCAAACCGGGATTTTTTACACTATCAGTCTAACAATGTATTTGATGCTTATTTTTCCCCACCCTTAGTTCAATGTTGCTTTCACTACACAATTTGAAACCACAATAAACCTTTCCAACTATAAACGTCTAAGTATGAAAATAAAATAGTTCTGTTAGGTATAAGATGTTTTTAATTGGTTTTGCATATTTTACAGGTGTAATATAGTATGGCGAAGAAATATGATGTAACTTACATAACAAACGTAGAATAGTTTATTATTATATTTCTGTTAATTAAATGTTGCTAACTGAAAACTGTAAACAATAACAACTAAAAAAGGCTTGAAGGAATTTCAGAGAATTTTGTATTTCTTTAAAACGCTTTAAGAAATATCAGATTTGAAAATTCCTATACTCATGTTTAAATACACCTTTTATGACTTAATCTCAGAAGCCTATAACAAAGAAACGTAATATTTTGTACAAAAACGCCAACATGTTAGTACTAGTATATCTCGACTATATGCACGGTGAAATACTATTTGCGTGTTTAATTCTTTGGTGCCATTACTTGGGAAACTTTAACACAATTTTTTAAACATTTTTATAACACATAACACAAAAGTCGGGTACTTACGACAGTGATGCTAACAGCGTCGTCGAGCTGCCTCATACAAACACTCACTAACGCGGATGCAAGGAGAAGAAGAATCAGGGGGTTTTTGAACTGAAACAAGAATACACAATAATTATTACAGAAACAAACAACACATCCTGTTTTTACATTACGTACAAGTATTCCAGACAAACATTTATAAAATAAAAATTTACATTGCTACATTTTTAAATTTACAAGTAACAAGGTTTTATCATGCTATTTAGGTTGTCCAAACGGTCTTTGGGATTTTAACGGTTATATACTATTGACTGCTACAATTTCTGTTATGGAAGTTTCTAAAAGGCGAATCAGAGTACTTTTGAAGGATTAGGGTATTGTGTGGATTATAATCAAAGTTTCAGAATAAAAAATTATTACCATCTAACATATTTAAAACAGAGTTACTAATTTTTTACTGTGTACAAAAAAGAAATTTTTATTTTAACGATATTTTAAATTAAAATTGTTGTAGAATATTGTATAATATTTCATATACACTCTGATAAGACTCACACACACTGACTTACACTCTGATGTAATTAAAACTTTCATAATTGGAACAATCAATTAAGCAACTTCAACTTGTTGTTATCGAATTACACTAAGTAATAAGAATACTTTTTAGCTTCAAACTACTTTGTTAACTCTTCCAATTGGTGTTACAAAACTAACTTTACTGAAAGTAAGCAACAGGATGGATAACGTTAAGCAAATTTCTGTTGCACTTTAACAGAGGTCTTATTAAGACGTAACTTCACCGGCCTCATTATTCCTTGGAGAGTTTTGTTTTCCACAGAGAAACTTTTACTTTGTGTTATGAAGCTGATAAGGTTAATAGAAATTTAGTTTTTTGTCTTGATCTATATTTTTTTACAGTGTAAAATTTAACAAACAGTTTGTAATGAGAAAATATAATATAATAGATTATTATAAACGTATATTTAGCTCTAAAAATTAATTTTAATAATCAAATAATTGTTTATATTATATAGAGAATGCAATGTTTATATGGTTTAATTTATATTTGATGGACATATCTGGCAATTTTCATTAGTAAATTATTTATCTTGAACAGTTGAGCATGACTTATTTCCTTTATTTCTAAAAGTGTTATCTTTATTACTATTACTTTGTTCAATTTTTTTATTGTAACAGCTTTTTTATTAAGTACTAATGGAATAACAATTAAATGAATAACCAATTGTTTTATGACAAACAAAAAATTTGGTCTCTTCACCCTCACACATGCAATCTTAATTATTTGATGTGTATGTTAGTACTTAATACTAATAAATAATAATGGTGGCTAAAAAGATTTTCTATAATAGTATATTTTATCACTAGCAAGTAAGGTGACTCTTTTCGACCCAAGCTCAAGTTTTAAAAACGAGGACAAGCCGAGGTGTGAATAATCCTTCAAAACTTATTGAAATTCTCAACAAGCAACAACTATTTGCATCTTAAAGTTTTTTAACGTTAAAATCACTATTTTCATGTGAAAAATAAATGAACAAAATCAAATACAATAAAACATGTTGGACTAGCTTGGGTGGCTAAATGTATTACCATGATTATTATTACAAGCTGCATCATTGATCTAGGCTATAGAAAACTACTTATGATTCAGAGAGGAAGTCAACTCATATTTCTACAGTGATGAGTTTCCTACTTAAATAGTTTGGTTATTTTATCATGTTTTATTAACTTCCTTACTGTCTGCAAGACTGTTTTTATCGGTATCCACAAATTTATATTCTTTAGTCGGATGCATTTTCTCATGTTCTAACACCTCTTGAAAATTGAAAAAAACCCATTCCAGATTGTTCACGAGATTTGCAGTAAAACAGATAAATTTTACTAAACACTTTGAGATTCTAAGTTTCGCTGTTGGAGATAAAACAGTATTTGGGATACAGCAAGCCCTCTTTTAACCGAACATTGATTGAACCAAGTTGACCCCCTCTGCCAGGACAGAAATAGAGGTCAGTGTATCTGCCTTCTAAGTCAAAAATGGCTGGTCTTTTTCAATCTGTTAGCATCCTTATGGCAGTAACGTAATAAAAGAGATTTGTGTCTGTGTCAGCATGATTGTGCATAATTCTTAAAAAAATAATACTGTAATACTGAGCATACTGGTCTAGTGAGTGGTAGAGCGAGGGGCTTCAGTCTCTAAGGACCCAATCCAATGTGTAAAAAGGTTTTTAAAAGGTTGGTAGCCTCTTTTACCCTTCCACATAGTGCGGGTCTGTGTGTGGAATGTACCCGGCAAAGCAAGAGGTGAGCAGGTACAATACAAGAGTGAACTGTACTGATAAAAGTAGTGGCAGGTACCAGGATACAAACCAACGACATCTCTACCTTGGACCTAAAGTCTCTAATGCTACCGACTCACCAAACTGTTCCTGGATAGAACCTAGCATCCTAGGATGTAACACATTCATTCCTAATGTATTTTACATATTTACAAAGTTGCATGTTTTAACCTTTTACGCTCTTGAACCAAGGCCCGGTTGGTTGAGTTAGTACATCTAGTATTCTACAAGTCATTCCAACTGTACTGTCAAGATACCTGTTCAATGTATTTCTTCCACAGTGGATCCTCCTCCTTGACGCAGAACTCGTTGTGACCAGCCAGCTGTCTGCGCAGTTCCGCCTCGCGCCACCACAGGCCGTTGCGCAGGTCCACTCTGAGCCGGGCCGCCACCTCCTCCGCTCCCAGCGTGGCCGCCTCTGTCGTCCCCAGCCACATCTCTTCCTCTGCCACCTGTCACAAAACAACATCCACAGCGTTAGACGAGAATTGAGCCTTACATGGTGAGTGTGACGATTACTGTGAAAGATTCTTGAAAAGTACAATTCTAGTGTTTGTGTCGAGTAGAGTGGCTTTGAGACCATAGCTTGAATCTTAAGAAACTAGATATCCAACTGGATAAATCACTAACCTTTTATTCAGAATATTGCCGATTAGATCCAGAAGAAAGAAAGTATATATTTCACACTCTAGATTAATATACCTCAGCTGTTTGCAGTTTCAAACTGTTGACATAGTGTTACATGTTTTGAATTCCATGCCATTTTTCAGAATTTTACATAACCATCTGCTAGTGATTCGTTAAAGGCTCAGATTCACAAACACATAACATATACAATGAGAATTGTGTTCAATGCAAATTACAATTAAGATAGATCCATCGCTGACATTCCATGGTCACGAGTGTGAAAAGACTGCAAGAAAAACATTGAAGTCAATGCAGTGTGTCCTTGCTATATACAATGGTCAGCTGATTTAATATTATTTGGGAAAGAAGGGAGGTAAAATATAATTTGACTTGGATTTTGTCATTTAGTAGGATTACATCAAAATATTCTACCAAGTCCACCTTACTACTTTTTTAGCGAATTTCCCTTCAGGGAAATTTTTTAAATGAATTTGAATTTATACAAACAAACCATGTAAAGATTTACATTATGGTTCTTGATAAAAATGAAGTAAGAATGAGAAAAAGTAGTCAAAGGGTATGACTCAAACTTGCAACTGTGTATACATTGGTACCGCATGTGGACTTGATATTCCAAGAAACCACACCAGATCATTCTCACGATTACGTACATCATTTGTATTTGTAAATTACTGTCATTAGATTGTAAATGTTTGAGTATAAACATTGATTAGTATATAAAGTCAATGGTATGAATAAATGTTTGATAACATACAAACTAGACTTCCTAGTTTCTTCATCTTCATTCATTGATTGTTCATTGATTGATTCATTGTTTTAATTTATTGATTCGTCTACATTTATTCAGGGCCGATTTACCGAATAGGCACGGTAGGCGCGTGCCTAGGGCGGGAGTCAATTGGCTTTTTGGGGAGCGCCCAAAAACTGGAAAATAAAGGTGGTTGTATTTGCATAAGATTGCGGTTAACTTCTGATAATCTCTCGTGGCCGTGTAGACATTGTAATCGTCTCCCGCGACTGCGGCAAAACTCTGACTATTTTGTGCGGTCGTGTAGACATAATTATCGTCTTCCATGATCGCATATATATGAATATATTCCGCGGTCGTGACGAGATTATCATCGTCTACCGCGAATGAAGCAAAATTCTGATCTTTTCCCGCGATCGAGTGGACATTATCATATTCTTGCACGATCGCATTAAAATTCTGATCACCCCTCTTGGCTGCGAAGACGTCTTTATATCGTCCCCCGTGGTCATTTGGACATAGAAAACGCCTCCCGTGATTGCGGCAAAATGGTAATATTGCGGCCATGTGGAGATCATCATCGTCTTGCACGATCGCGGCATAATACTGGTCATCCCTCTCGTATCATGATTATATCTCCCGCAGTCCTGTAGCCATAGTTTAATCGTCTCCCGCGGTCGTGAAAACATCGTAATCGCCTCCCACGATAGCGGCAAAATGTTAAAAATATCCCGCAGTCGTGTGGAGAGCATCATCGTCTTCTGCGATCGCAGCTAAATTCTTGCTGTTTCCACGGTCGTGTGGACATTACCAACGTATTCCGTGATTGCAGCAAAATTCTGATAATCACTTTGAGACTGTGAGACTCTGTAGATATCACCGTTGTCTTCTGCAATGGCGGATAATTCTGATCATCCTTCGCGGCCGTGTGTAAACATGTTATCGTCTCCCGTGGTCACAGAAACGTCACTGTGGTCATGCACGATCGCGGTAAATTGAAAATTCCATGTAGAAATACAAATTTCATGCATAATTCCCGGTTTAAAAAAAAACTCACGCATGATTCACGGATGTCCCAGTTTTCCCGGTTGGTGGACACCCTGTTAGGCTATATATTGCAAAGGGGCGCTATTACATAGTTGTGCCTAGGGCGCTGACAGGGTCAAAAACAGGACTGCATTTATTAAATAATTGACTTTGATTTCTGAAATTTCAATAGGAATTTTAAAACATTAAAACCGTTTTCAATTTTTTATTAGACCTAGACACAGTCTTGAGTGAAGTGCTGATAACTGATGAGATTGAGGTTAAGCAATGTCAACACTATCATATAACTTACACAGGGAGATTGTAGGGAATTATATTTACCTATCCCTAGTTGATATAAGTTGAGTACTCATATAGAAATTAAAATGAATATATGTTCGCTTTTGTATTCAATCAAATTCAAAATTACAAATAAATGGTTAAAGACGGATTTGGATGTGCCATCAAAAACTCTGTTCCAATTTTATATTAATTTAAAACTAAAATAATTCCATGTAAATTTATTAAACAATGCAATAAGCACATGTGGTGGACTATTTTCCTTCAACTTATATTGACACCCTTTATATATCAAATTCACAGATCATGAAGTTTTGTTTGTGTCCGTACAGTTATATGTCACTATAGTACCATAACTAAAAATAGGGTAAAATATCAGCATTTTCACTAATTTCCATCTACGAGCTTATAATCCCAATCAGAAAATCCTCACAAGACTATTGAAGTCTAAAATATTCAAAAAGTACCTACCAATGGCACATTGATGAAAAATATTTCATTGACAAACTCCAAACCCATGGTTGTCTGGCACTAACATGTTCCCAGCTGGCACAGAGTGACACTAAATGTGCATCTGTGTCTCTGTGACACACACACACACACACACACACACAGCCGTGGTAGTGACTAATAAGTGGTACAGTTAACACAATGGTTAATGACCCGTGAAACAGTAACACACAACTATTGGCATACTGATAGAACAAAAACACTTGTTGAAAACTAAACTAGCTGGTTCCACTCTCTGACTTTAAAATCAGCTGATTTTTGTTAGAAAAATTTAATAATTTATTCACATTGTCTAACAATGCCCTACATCTAGTATACAATAGTGAGAGCGGTATGAAAATGAGTAGTATGAGCACCCACGCAGTTGTCAGCAGTAAACTTGTCAAAATTGTTTACACATATTTCCTAGTTTTCTATATGTATACAGGGTGGAAAGAAGTTAGTGTTAAAATTTTTTATGTTAAACTACTTAGTATTGGGGACAAAATGGCACCAATTTAGGTTTCCATACCCTCTCCGGTAGGGAATAGCAGTCAAATTAATATTTTTTTAAAATATTTGTATTTGCTTACATAAAATGGTCATAATTGCACTAAAAATTGTTTTTATTTAGACTTTATTGTCATTTCAAAATCCTCATTAAATTTCCAATAGTAATAGTACATACTCATTGAGATGAAACATCTGTATAAGCCTTTATTCTGCAACGGACGTTTGAATTTGTGATTTTTTAGAAAAATGAAAAATATTTTACATACGTTTTTCCATGTTAAACTGGACTACATAGAGTGTCAAATATTACTAAAAACTTTTTCAGTTAATAACCTTTAAAATGATGTATAACAACCTACTGTTTCTTTGCTTTTTCATTCTTAAACTTTAGAGTTTCTTTTGAAAAACACGGAACGGCTAAAGTCTAATTTTGTGCATAAAAACATGAATTTGCTTAAATGATATGGCAACAGCTGCACTAAAAATAATGTTTAATTGGAGTTTATTGTAGTTTTCAGAATCCTTGTAAAACTCCTAATAAGATTATTGAGGAATTGTTAGTTTATGGAAGAAATTCCTTAGATACACCATTGCAAAATATTATTTAGAAATTCTGAACTACTAGAGATTCTTGACTTTAAATAGCCACTTGTATAATAAAAAACCTGAATTTTAATAATTAGGCAATAATGTGCAAGGTTATGTACTGAAGATGAAAGAAAATAATAATGGAGCAGAAACAACAGAACTGCCTGAGGATAGATTAGCACGAGGCAAAAGAGAAAACTTGGTTGTTCATTGTACTGTATTGGATGATAGATTAATCAGTGGCTTTATATATGAAAATAAATTAAAATAACTGTCGCTGCATCATTCGAAGCAATCAATCAGCTTAAAGGAAATTATATGAGACTGGATCACAACAATGAGGTCGGCATATCAAGTAAATTTAAAACAAAACACGCATTGAAAACTTAAATAAACTATATTTAGGTGAATGCCTGCTTTCTTCAAAGAAATTCTCAAATAAGACTTGATGTACATTTGCGTGATATAGCAACCAGTAACGTTGGCGAAGACGTCAAACATAATTTTATAGACATTAACGTATTTTAAATAAAAATAATACTTGATCAAAAAAATTAATGTGTATCTTATTATTTTATTATAAGACTTAGGCGATTCTTGTTTATACCTTTATTATTATACTTTTTGGTACTAAAAATTCCACTATTAAAAGATTCAAAAATCTTCAATAAAATTGTGTCCAGCTATCAAAGGGTTAAAAATTAGCGCAATAAATTGTAGGTTCAAATAAAAATTAAGATTGCCAAAATAAAATAAAAAAGAAATTAATAAGTTATAAACATTAAATAGTAAACTAACAATTATACTGTGGGTACCTAAATAAAATACTACTTGAAGAAATACACAAGAGAATATTGTAGAATTAATAATTGTGAAATACAAATAGTCGATAGTTTATTATTTATTTAGCGATAGCAAGGCAAGAAGCGTAAAGTTTGTAATCAGTCTCTGGGCAACAGCTGGTCGAAGGAGTTATGACGAGTCCGAGTCAAATCAATACGACCGACCGGACAGCAAATCAATGGCAATTCCTCACCAATTACTCTGCTACTTGTACCTGCCTGCTGTCGTTTCAATACTCAATCGTGAAATGTAATACTGATAGTTAGGTGTGTTGAGAAAACCAGTAAAAGTCACCAA